TATTTATATATTAAAATTCAAATTTTTGGATTCCATCTTAATTATTCATTAACTTTCCAAAATTAAGATTTGTTTTTAAATGAACAGCATAAAAAGCATAATTATTTTATTTACAAAGCAAAATGCATTAAAAATTTTTTAAGGTTTTTTAAAAATTTAAATTAATAGAATTATTTTCTAGATTTATTTAATTAAGGACTGTCAAAATTTCAAGATTTTTTGAGTCTCTTTAATTCTATAATAATTATATAAATTAAGTCCTTCTCAAATTATTTATATTTAAAGAATTATCTTTAATAATAAACATTAATTATTACTTAAAAACTGCAACTATTTTGACTGAAAATTGCTTTTTATAAATAGCATTAATCTATTTGATGAAGCTTTTTTTAAATCATTCATTTGTAAATAATTTAATTAATTCAATAGAAATTCGCTTTATCTAATTCATTCTTAATTAAATTCTAGCTATACACCTTAATAATTTTCATTATATAAAATGAAAATTTGTTTATTAAAATACCAACCCTAAAGGATTATTTTTCAATTTTTAAATACTTTAATTAAATACAATACATTACTGCTATTTAATGGAATCAGAATTTTTCAAAATTAAAAAACAACATTTACAATAATTCAAATGTATATTAAGGTAATTATAAATAATATTGTTAGATTATATTAAATTTACATAAAATTAGCAAATTAATTGTAATCAAAATACTAGTTCAGAGCAGTAAAAAGTTCATAATTAGAGTTTTATATTTTACAAAATTTCTATATATTTTTAGTCTTATTGACAAAATTAGAATAAGCAACATCTCACTTTTATAGATTCAGGAATTTGTTAAATATTTACCTCTTATTATTCTTTCAGTTAATGGTCACTAATGTATCAATGCTAATTAAATAGAAATATTTAATATTGATTTCATTTTTAATGTCTATTTAATGAAGTATTCATATATTGTACTTTTAAGTATTAATATAGATCAACTTTTTCAAATTCTATAGTTTCATTTGAAGTTTTTTTACATTAATTTAAACCCTATATAATCTAATAAATTAAAATTAATTGAATAGTAACTTATTTTTAACTATTAAATATATTTATTATTTTTTCAGATTCTAATTATCTATGAAGTTTAATCATCTCATTCTATGGTATCTTAATAACGACTCAGCCTCTCTAAAAATAATTTATTAATCAAATTAAAAATAAATTAATTCTTAAATTAAAATAAATATTTAAGCGCTTTTTTATCTTTTTTATTAAAAGTATCACTATGTTTCAAATCGATCATTATTGTTAGATCATAAAATTCAGTCTCATCTTGAAAGCGATTCAACCTCTTTATCATGCTTATTCAATAATATCATAAACAACATCTTGCCTAACAATAATCCTACATAAATTTAACCTTTAAATTATAAACTGAATCTAATCTATTTTCAAATTTGAGTGATTATTCAAACAAGTTTTATGATTCCTCATATTTACCAATATCATAAATATTTTTATTTGTATTAAATTATTTCCTAAGTATTTTTAATCCATATTACTTTTTTGATACACTTATTTGTTACCTTCTTAACTTAATTATTTTTAATAAACTTTATACTATATATCGTATTATATATCAATGTTTTCAATTTCTTGTTACTATTATGGCTTTTCTCTTTCTTTTATTATATTCATAAAAGTTTCAATCATCTTTTTCTATTCTTCTATCTAAAAATCTAATAAAGTATTATGATTAATATGAATCATTTCTAATTACTAGCACAATAATTTGCTTTCTTGATGTTATTTTTCATAAAAATCATATACCTTAATTAATGGAATTTTTTTTTGAATACATATAATTAAATAATTTATGATAGGTAGTAAAAATATGAAGCTTTAGAACTATCTCTCATATTTCTACATATTTAAATGGCTTTTGTTTTTCGATATAATGAATTTATTAAAAAAATACAGACCCTTTAACCTGTCAAAGATATTATCTTAAAAAAGATTTTCATGTATTTAATACAATCCATTATGATATTAGTTATATTTTCTTAATGTTAAAGATTTTTTAGAAAGAATGTATTCTAAATAGATTATAGGTTTAAGGAGATATTTCAAAAAGTGTAATTTTGATTGGTTCAGTTTTTGGGAATGCAAAACGATTGGTTGAAGCAATATTGTGGTGCCTTTTAATCGCTTTTGACTCTTAACCTTAATTCATTTATAAGAGTAACCTAAGTAATAATCTTTAATAATTTGATAGAGCTAGTTGAAGATAATATTTTTATGCAGTCTATTTCTGATTTTGAGAAAAAAATTGAGAGACGTTTAAAGAGTTTTATAATTATTTGATAATTTCAAGCAATTTTAGTAATCATTCTTGTAGTTTAATCCACAGATGACTTAAAATATAATACTATGTTGATATTTCGGAAATATTGTTTATAGATTAAAATATTGATAACCAGAGAATATTAAAAAGTTCATTGTTTAATAAAAACAAGCTAAACCAGGCTTTCCTAATAAAAGTAAATTAATGTAATTATCCACTCTATAATTTTACAATTAGAAATTATCTTTTCAAATTAATAATAATTTGTTTGCGTGCGTTATTAAATTAAATAAATAAAAATTATATAAATTATTAGTATTTTTGAAAGGTAGTATTTATTAGAGGTTTTTCCTATAAATGTTTAAACTTTGATAATAAGATAATTTATTAAATAAAATTCTTTAATATTATAGTTAGAACAAGTCTACTTACAAAAGAAAACTTCAATTTCTTAAATAAATTAGTAAAAAGATGGAGAGTACAAAATAGCTAATCGAATTAATTTTTATTATTTTAGAGTAACCTTTTAATCAAGTTATATACTTATTTTAAATCAATTTATTTATTTTATTTTTTTTTAATCTAATTCGAATAGGATCTATAATTTAAAGTGAGTTTCCAGTTCATATTGAGAATAAACATTAATAAATAATTAAATAATATTTAATCAGTAATTCAATACAATCCAATAGCACTGAATTAAGTAAGTAGAAAATATTAAGTAAAATGTTATAATATCATTTCATTAGAATTTTGAAAGAAACCAAGAATTATTTCAGTCAAATAATATCTAAATTTTATCACTAAATGATGAAACTAATTTAAGATTTTTAGAAGGTGTTGAATATGGATATTGTAAAAATTTTAGTCATATAAAATTGAAGCTTTACAAGATACAAATGATCAAATAAATAGAAATAGAACTCTCTCTTAACTATTTCAGAAGCAGATGGATTCCTTCGATGATTTTGTTGACTTTATAGATATAGAATTCAAAGAAGTTATAGTTATGATGCTAATAAAGTCTAAAAAAGATCTTTTGTCCATTCATATATATTATTTTCATATTTTATATATCACTTTTAATTTGAACACATAAAATAATAGTAAAATTCTAAAATTGATCTTATAACAAAAGCAAGTTTTTACCAAAGATAATTTAGCTATTTTAAAACATATTCATATAGATTTATGTAGCTTAAGTGTTTTAAAAAAAGGTTTATTTGACAATTTTGCTCATAAAATATAACAATTCATACAATAGGGGAAATAGATAATGTATTAACATCATTCAAATTGACTAATATTAGTTAAAAAATATTTACCCTGTAGACAAAGATAATTTGAGAAATCAAATTATATAAAAGTCACTAAACTCATCTCAATATTTTAATAGAATTTATAAAATCTTGATTCCAATTAGCAAATCATTGAAAAGTTTTATCATGAAAAATTTTGAGTCAATTTATAAGATTTTTAATCTTGCTTCAATCAATTCTACCAGAAATTATTAATGAAAATGATTTCATAATTCCAAATTTTGTTATTATTATTTCTATATTAATTGTTTATTTTATAATAATATAATTAAGTGGTAGTAAAAATATCCAGTAAATAAGGTTTTACAAAATATCGCCACTTTGTGTGAAAATCGAATGGAAATTTATTCTTAGAAATATTAAATTAGACAATTTTTGTTAAAAAGAATTTACTTATATAAAAGATTGCCTTAAATTTCTTATTATTTTAAGATAAAATATTTCGAAAGGAATTTATGATTTGGATTTGCTTAATTTCACTGAAAATTTTAATTATGTTTAATTATTTTGTAAATTAAGCACGTTTATAAATTTTTAAGATTTTATGAAACATAGATATTTAAAAGGATGCTTGAAGGAAAATGAGAATTCTCCAATTTTTTTCAGTTAATCTAAGAAAAAGAATAGAAACTTGGCTCATTAAATCAGTAGAGCAATCAAAAACATCCGCACTAATCAAAAATATTTTCATAGAAGCCATATCTGTGAACAAATAAAAAGCTTTTAATGCCCTCAATTGTTTAATAAGTTAATTTGTCATATAATACTATTTTAATATCAAAAAAGTTAATATTTTCTACAAATAGAATAAAATAAGTTAAAGTTAGTTTTGATGAAAGAACTTTAAAGAAAATTATATCATATAAAGTCTTTAAAATAAGCATAAGTAAAAAGAATTAATAAATAAATTTAATGACTTAATAAGCAAGTAGATTTTGGTTGACTACGGAAAATAATTGGAGTAGCTATGAAAGCATTTTGGATTGTTGAGTAGCATTTTACATATCGGATATTCTTTAAATAAGTGATATTGCAGAAGAAATTAGATTTAATAGATTAAATAAACTGTGTAAATATCATGTTAATGTCAATCTATGAGCAAAAAATGTAAAATATTCATAATCTATAAATATATATCATAAATAATTTGGAAAAGCATAAAATTTAAATTGACTTTATCTCATAAATTTTGCATGTTTTATAAGCTAATTAAAATAGTAAATTACAAATCAAATTATTTGAGGTTTTAGATTATATTTTTAAAGAGATTAAATCAATAAAGATGGTTTGTAAAAAGTAGATGGACAAAAAGGAGCTTAAATTAAAAAATTTAGCTGCCATTCATTTAATTAGTTAAAAAAAGAAACTATAAATTAAACAAGGGTTTTGATGAAATTAAGAGTCAAAAAAGATAGATTATTATTAGAAATAATCCAATATAAATATGTAA